CACTCACAATTTCTAGAAGAGGCTGGATTCGAGCACAAAATTATCCTACGCCACTTCACTACATTTGATGCATTATTCACTCAGTGTTCACCTGAGAGGATCTGTTGAGGTTGGAAGGCCGACAGAAAAATGACCACACAATTATCTTCCTGTTCTTTTTTATTTCTGACTGTTATTTACCTTAAAGGTCTCCTATTATGCTATTTTTAGGCATAATAATATAGGTCTCAGATATACAGAAATATATAAAAAACATGTCTATGAAGTGTTTTGCTCAAAATACCAAACAGATCACCCATTCTAGCCATGCCTCATATCCCTCTATTTCAGCCCTGTTAGAGAAGTGCTGATTCTGGGTCCGTAGCTTAAATTTAAAAAAAAGACCATATTATTTCCAAAACACGTCGCGCATTGTTTCTTATAGTGACGTTTCTGATAGGGCTGTGAGCGTAAAGCCAGCCCACATTTCCGATATTACGTCATATCGGCAGCAAATCTGGAACAGCTCCGTTGTACCCCCGTTTTTAGAGATTTGGGTACGGAGGAAAAGAGAGAGGGTTTTGTTATCTGACACTTAGTAGTAGTAGCATATTTGAAATGCATGTAAAGGGAGTGTTTTTCCTCATTTGGTACACGTATACAGAGAGACAGAATGCAAAATACATTTATTGCATACATTTCTACAGGTCATTTGCCTTTAAAAAAAACAACAGATGACTTTGAGTATGATAACAAACCTAGGGCTATTCCCACGGGAGGTTTCCACAGATGTCTACTTTGATGCATGTGTATCTGTGTGTGCATACTAACATCACAGCTTCAGATACTGTAAGATTCTTTGGTTCACATTTTGCTGAGCCTGACCATGTTGTCCAGTTTTCCGGGGGAAAATCAAGAAAATACTACCCGAATAACAGTGATATCTTCGAGCTTTCTTTAAATGAAGTTCACTTGAGGAGTGCCGGAGAGGGTTGAGAAGCCAGCCCCCTTTTGTTATCAGGTCACTGCCCCAGAATGATCTCTGCCATTGGGTCAGTGTGCCGTGTGGGTCTCATCCAACTGGCTAGCTGTCAGGATGTGGTTGCCATGGAACATGTCCAGTTGGAGCAAATGAAATCCCTTCCTTCGAGTTTCCAGGCAGGATTCAAATGCTGATAAAGTTTTGGTGGGAGGGAGACTGGCAGTGTGTGTGTTTGTGATAGATGCGTGCGCACACACATATAGAGAACGAAATATCAAGAGAGAGACTAGGCTTTTGAGGTTACAGAGGAAGTAGGGCATGAGATTGTGCAGCCATGTGTGTTTGTGCGCGCCTGTGTGCATGTGTGTTTGTGCATGAGTCTGCTAGTGTGTGTGGCTGTCAATGAATGCATTGCTCTTCAGAAACAGCTTTCTGGTGTAATATAAACTGAAGCCGATCTCCTCTCTCCCAGGCTTCTCAGGCGTCTACGAGAACTAATTTATGAACATTTTTTTTCCACTTGCATACACAAGTCAATAACAGAGAAAAAGACATTAATAGATATTGGTCTGCCACTTTATTCTGTTAATGTAACGTCATTTCATTCATTGTTGTGTCTGGATAAAGTGTACAAATGTAACTTGTGGGAGAGCACTTCAAAGACTTCAATACATGTCTATAACACAAAGCAGTTATCCACATACTGATGGACACGTCTTAATTAGTTAAGTCAACAATGTGCTGAATTTAAAATTCATGTTCCTGGATAATGGTAAGAGCCGCAGTGAATTCATCCATATTCATTATTAATGTTATAGAGGTCTGTTTATGTGTCCCATGAGAGCTGCCTTTCTGCAGAGACTCACAAATGTTAATACATCACAGACTAACGCATGTAATGAATAACTTAGGTCTGTTTTCTTAAGATAAATGTACTGCCATCAATGCTACATACTTAGGTTTGTTATGAATATTTCACTTCAGGACTTTTCAGTAATCGACCAGTAGAGCGCTCTTAACAAATGACCATATTCATATTTTCTGACTCGTGATTAAAACAATTTCACAACTTATATTGCATTGGGACACTAGACCCTGCATGCTGTTTGTAGGAGCCATGAAACGTACATAGTAATGCATTTTGAATATACACATTTGTTTTGTACTAGTTTTATAATTGGGTACTGGTTTGTATTATTATAAGCTATTTGTTTGATCGCTATGGGTTGGTTGCTTTGGGTCACATGGTTATGGGCGGCACTCAGGGGAATTATAATCCTGTTCGCCTGCATGAGGTGTGTGTGTGTGGAAGAGAGGGTGACACAGGGTCGTTGTACTTTTTGTTGACCGCAAGTTTAAGGATTGCTTTGAGCATTATAACAATGTCTATGTCTAAGGAAAATAAGTTGATCATCCCAGTTTTCATTAAACTACATTATTATTCAACAAAGTTTTGATCTCAACAAGTACTTTTTGTAGCGTGTCATACAATAGCAAACAGGCCCGGCCTCAGCCTCTCAGCGACTTTGTTTGTTTCCTGCTGTCACTATAATGTGTCTATATAGCGACATCCTGTCCTTAAAAGGATTCTGACTTTCTCTTAAGTAATTACAGGTGTTTTCTTCACAGCGTCTTAAGTAGAGAGGGGTCTTTTATTTATCTTGAACACAAAAGGAAGCTGCAACTAATGCTCTCACATCTTTTGTTGTTTACAGAGGTCAGCCATGCAAGAAGTGATCATGTTTCCAATATCACAGTGAGCAAGGAAACCAATCCCCACCTCTTTGGAGGGGCCGCAGGTGGGACAGAGTCCGAACCCAGAGATCTTTCCAATTCAGGCAGGACAGAGGAGTCAGGGAGCCGTGACTTCTCACGCAGCGCAGCGATGGGACATGATCACAGCTGAGGGAGAGAGAAACAAAGGGTGGGTGGGTGGAGGCAGGGTGATGCTCTGGGAGTGAATGCAGGGAGTCAGCTCCAGCTGTCAGAGTGTTTATTGATCAGTGAGGGGAGGGGGCAGGTCACCAGCACCTGCATCAGCTCACTGTGGACATGGTTAACTGATAAGCTATGAGCTGATTGTGAATCACATAATGAATGTTGGAATATTTGGGGTAATTCGGGCTAATGGGTGGACATCAAGCCTGCCATAATGACTGTTTTAAGATCTAAAACATGTTGTCAAGACTGGTATATGACTTATAGTGTTTTTACACAAACAACAAACACACACTTCTGTGTCCTACAGGTGCCTAATTATACTGATCGAGATCTAGGCCACTTCCAGAAGGATCTAGGTCAAAATTACATTGCACAAATGGGGTTGATTGTGACATTTAAAGTTAAATGTTAACTTATTCATGTTGTGGTAATATGGGGAAAACAAGTTTGTAAAATTAACGGGAACAGCCAGATGGATAGATAAATGGACAGATGGAGGGATAGATAGATAGATAGATATATAGATTATTGTTTACAACCGTATAAATATATACAAGCACACTCAACATAATCCTTTATCTCAAACTTGTGTGCCATACACTGATTCTGAATAAATGCTGTCTGCTTTCCTTAATTCGGCATTGTTTACAAATTTACAAATACATATTAAACGTGCAGATAAATATGGACGACATTAAGGTATTAGATCACCTATTCACACATTGTAGAAAAATGTGTGGACCTTTATAGTTTATCTTTAATGTCCTTGCCATGTGAGATCTTAACAGAACAGATGAGCACGCACAGTAGTAGCGAAAGCGGTCTCGTGCTACGGGGAATTTCCCGTCCACGTGTCTGAATACGCGCTGGAGAAGGCGGGACAACAACAAAAAAGACGATTGGTTACAGGGTCTGGATGTAAATTACCTTTAAAGGGGCTGGCTCCGCCTCCTCCGAGGTGCATACAGTCTGGAGGACAGAAACACTCGCGTTTCAAGGAGGTTTTATTTACTAACTTTCTGCACCACGCCCCGGCGGCGGAGTCAGTGTGGAGCTGACGTCGGCGAAATTATATCGGCTCGCTGTATTTTCCCTCACAGAATGGAAGTAGTCGTGGAGCTGATACGGACTAAACTCGCTTGACTTGCCAGGATATTGAACTCGTTGCCCCTTTTTCTCTGTAACAGACAATCTTATCAACGAAGCCCATCTTTGTGGTAAGTTCCTCAAAAACACATTTAAGTGTTTTTCTTCGGTATGCACTTTACAGCAGCTTGTCTGCACGAGTTTTAACGTTTAATAACATCCGCGTCCTTGGAAGAAGCAACAAACAACGTGTCGCTGTTGTCGTTCAAAGAGTTGCAAACACTTGTTTCGACAGCGTTGAGGTAATTATTGTATCGAAACGTCAAAGCTGCCGGGTTGGAGACCGTTTTAAGTGTAACTAAGCCTGTCTGTCAAACAACAAAGATTTGAATTTTACCGGCTTTCCCGGTTTACAGAGCTGTGTCGGTGAATGGGCTTCAGACTGCAGCTCTGTTTTTTGCGGCGAGTGTTTCTCTGTCGTGTTTCAGTCTGTATTAAAATGTAATGACAGCCGTTTTCGCCATAGATTAAAACCATGTACGCGTGTAAACGTGTTATTACATAATGTAAATGCACGCTATGTAGCCCAATCTAAACATTTATTTCCCAATTTTCTCTCTTTATTTTAAATCATCCCACTCAGTTTTACTATCCGATTTAATTTATAATTATTATTGATATGGTTATCTGGTGTATAACCAATCATTTTGGGGGGATTAAAAAGTATCGCGAGACTCCGACACCGCTTGATGAGATCGTGTTATTTAAGGTCGTTGTGCATAATGTAACACATAATAGAAAATGGTGTGATGTGAGGCTTATGAAGCCAGTGGGTAGAAACTGTGTCAACAGAGCTGCCTCACCCCCACTCTCCCTCCTTCCCTTTTGTTCGGGTGGTGCAGTCTGCAGCAGGGGGAGCTACTGTCTGAAACAAACAAGGCTCACTGCCTGGACAGTGGAGCGCTGCAGAGAGCTATCCTGGGGATCTGCAAGTTCAGATTAAGTATTTTTTTCCATATGAGCCTCCCATGTTATTACTCTATGTTTGTCAAAACAAAGCATTAAGTGGTTTTACACACAGGGTTTATTGTGATCGCACACAGTATATCGTGAGGTCTGGGCATGCTAGAGACTGGCCAATCTGCTTATGTTGGGTGCAGAAATGAGAACTCCTTCTCAGACGAGCTGGCGAGCTGACAGACCAGGGTAGGGAGAGTGGCTTCGGGTTTTCCTTACAGACTGTCATTACACTTTTGCTGTGGACCCTAATTTGGAAGTGTGGTAGTAGTCTAACCCTGTATTACAACTCCATTGTGACTTGGGGGTTAACTGTTGAGGCAACTTGAATTTCATCCATATTTTGACAACTCTCTGACCTCCTATTAAGATTCAGGGTTGAATTCAGTGCTTCATTGACACTGGAGGGATTCCCAAGTGCTCCTTGCTTCCCTCTGGTAGAGTTGTCCTTAAGGATTTACAATCATGTGTATTATGTATTCCTATAATCAAGTTTACACATTGTGTACATTTCTGATATTATCACAGGCACTGAGCTCTGCTACCTGCAATTGTTTGCTGTGAGATATAGTAAACTACCTCTAATCCTGGTTGTAATCATGAGACTGTTATTAAAAAAGCCAGGCTGCTGTCAGCTCGAGGTGTTACATATGCATACACTTCAGTATTGATATAATGAGATATGAGTAGATTGTGGCACACAGTGGCTCGTATTGCAGGAAAAGTAAAGCTATGATATTGGACATTGTTAGTATGTGTGTAAATCAATGCAAATTCAAAACTTTTTTTAAACTTAGATTTTTTACTTATGTGTGTGTTCATTTTCACTGTCAGAAAAATCCCAACTTATTTCCGTGCTTACACTATTGCTTTTTATTGTAATATATTGTATTTTAACCAATGTATCATAATGCATTTCATATTCCCATGCCAATACACATCCCTGCTGTCCACAGGGCAGCTTAGCACACATTAAAGATTCTACCTCTCCTTTAACTCACTCAGCCAAACCCACATTTATGTAAATGTGGCTCAACCGAGTCGCCTAACCGCAGTGAATCGTGTGGTTTCATCACGAGAAGAACAGAGCCATTTGTCTAAATAAGCACTGAGCCCTTTGCCACAAGTGAAGGCGGATCTTGTGCTTTTTTTCTCTCCCACAACTTGTTCAGTGTGGTTTTATTGATTTGAGGGCACTCATTATAAACCAGACAGGTTGTCTATAATCATAACAAATGCTTGCGAGGGATAATGAATGTGTCTGAGATCATCTCATCAGGCCTAATGCAGACTCGTCCAAGGTTACCATCATTAGTGAAGGGACTGATTTATGAACTTGCTGTTCTACATTCAGCTGTAAACATTTCTCCTTTGTCTTGTTACTTTCTAGGCTGCTGATCTTCAAGTGCCCCCGTATGGACGATGAGGAGGATGATGTGTTTGAGCAGGACCCCCACTGCTGGCGCACCACATTCAGGGAGATAAAGTGTGAAGAGCGCGGCACACAGACACCTGGCCCTGCGCTGGCACCCGACAACGGCATGCTGCCCTGTGGCGTCGCAGAGGAGCCCAGACCACTCTTCTACGGTGAGGCTGACAACACACCGTATTTCAAAAGAGATAAGGGAACATAGTCGTGTGCGTGATAACCAGTGTTATAAAACTGCAGCTCGAAACTATGATGTGAGACTTACAGTCAAGAGTGGGTAACACATAATGCTGCTGCAGTAATCTCACCCCTGGCGCCTGATAGTCGTGATCAGAGTTGCTTTTATGGTCTGAATGGAGTGTACCCAGCTGCTTTGCTATTCAAAGGGCGCCAGACAGGCATTGTGATGTGACAGGAAGTGACAGAAGTGCTTACCTGTGTACGCAGCAACTGCACAGGGAACTGATTATCACTGACAGCAAAGTCACATTGGCGCCATATAACAGAAATCATTCCAGAGTAACTCTATAGTGACTGACTGACCTCAAATCTGTGTCATTGTTGTGTTTGAGTGACTTGTGAAACACTTGAATGACTCGGTGTTGATAACTAAAAACACTCAGTTGTGGTTAAAGCCGAGCAATCTGACATGTTCAGCAATACTAGCATCATTGTGATAGACCAAATAAAGGTAGAAAAACAAATTAATGTGTCATTACTGCACTTATATATTTCTAAATGGTTGTTGACAAACTAATAAGTCTCAGCCTTGACACTCAACAGGCAACGCGGGTTTTCGATTGCACTTCCCGGCACGCTTTGAGCTCGTTGGGGATCAGGAAGCGAGGAGACAGGAGAGTGAAGGGGAGCCAAACGGCATGGAGCAGCTCCCCCGGCAGCAGCCTGTGGCCCGCAGCTTGGAGGCCGTTATTGGCCAGAAACTCCAGCTGATAGGAGACCAGTTTCACCGGGAACACCTTCAACTGGTGAGGAGGAAATGTGCATCCTGCTGACTGTACAAACTCCAGACAGACTGCTCCGGCCTCTTGTTCGCAGTAAACAAGTTCAGCTGGTCAATAATACGCCAAGCGGTGACAGAATCTCCCTTTAGTGCACTTCAACAAGTGGTACCTCTGGCTATCCTGATTTATAGATCTTGTAAATATTCCTGACAGTTTTTAAAGTGTTTAATAGATTGTAACCTGGGATTGGCAGCATGCAAACAAATAGTTGTTTCTGTTATGTTGAGTCTCGAGCTGAGCTGACCTAATAAAATGCAGTAAAGCCAGGAGGATATGCTATAATAACATCAACCCCTTATCCTAATAACCATATGATAAATATACAATGAACACTTCTCAGTTCCTCACCTTTACAACATAGCAGCAGTAAATCGTTTTACACCTCATTATTCTTCATGCAATAGGAACATTTCATTAGTTACATAAGCGTCTTTAGAAACAAAATACTGCACATGAACTTATTTGAAGGTGAAGGAGAGACTTTTCTTTATCTTTACAATGTTTTGGAGTGAGTTGCCCCCTTATGAGGATCTGTGCGCTCAGTTAAAAGTGATTTGTTTATTGTGGACTGGAGACAGCTGTGCCTCAGTTGTAAACTGAAAAGTAAGGTTTTGTTTTGATTATTGCTCAATAAATCAGTAGCATATGGGTCTTCCACTGGATCTCCAAAAGTGCCGATTAAGAATAACTACTGCCATCAAACTAGACGTGGTTATGTGTGTGTTTGTGTGTGTGTGTTTGTGTGTGTGTCGTAAGGATTTATGTTGGGACAAAAGTTTGCTCTCTTTTATTGTGTTTGCCACATATTTGTTTTGGAGTGGCTGCACACATGCAGGACCTACAGAGCCCAGCGCTTCACCCCCTTCCTTCCCTCAAGCCAAAAACATTGCTGAACATGGACAACCCTTCCCCCATCTTCCTAACCCAGGCCGGCCCTCCCCCTGCCTCCTCTTCCTGTTTATTTCTCTCCCTCTCTTTCTCTCTCTTTCCCCCCTGTTTCCTCTGTGTGCTGCAGAGGCAAGTGGCATGGAGGATAGCTGGCCTGGAACAACACATTGTGGTGTGGTCAGGGTGACACTGTCCGAGTCTGCTGCACAAATGTGGGAGCGTTGTACAACCGTGACACACTGTTGTATCATTGGCTGTAACATCAACAATATAAACAAACCCTCAGGAGAGTTTCTGCTGAGTCTCCTGTTGCACAAGTGCACAAAGTCTGGCACGCAGTTATTTACATGTGCATATTCATCCACACTTCGTTCAGGAGAAAGCAGAAGTGGCGCGAGGAGGTAAACATGTTGAAACCCGAAGCTCTGCGCGTAAGCCCCCGGGGGGACGAGAGAGGTCCTCTCAGCTATAGAGAGAGAGGAGGTGGGGGGGGCTCCATATGGATGCATGTATATGAAGAAGTGAAGAAGCAACAATCTTCAGTTGTCTTGAAACCTCCCCACCCGGCACTCGATATATTTGTTTTCTTCATAGTGTGAGACAGTTTCAGATTTTCTCATGCGCTTATCAAGTTATTTATACACCCCTAGAGCTCAGCATGACTCATGTATTGTGACACTGGCAAATGCACACAGACATCCAGACAGTCAGACACCCGGGTTGCTGCGATGTGTGTGTGCGGTCGGTACCTACTGACGCACAGCGGCGACGGGCCTGGGTCAGGCGATGAGGAAGTGGTAGTAACTCCTTTTGCTTGTTGAGTAAACGGCGGAGAGGACAGTCAGAGTGAGAGCGGCTCCGTGAAATCATTTCCTGAAGCAGCGTGTGACACAAACGCCAATATAGTGTGATAGCCAATATAGTGTGATTAAGAGAGTCATATTTTTGATGATGATGATGATTTAAAAACCTAGATGATGGTGTGCGGTTTTGGATAAGATAAGATTGACTTTGTTGATCTTAATTTCGGAAATGTTTTCGTCACAGCAGCATGTTAAAACAAGGCCTTGCACATAGTGTGAAAATGAAAAAGAGTAGAAAAAACCCCGAACATAACCTCTCAAAACAGATCTAAAAAGTCAAATGTATAGACACTGACAGTGAAAGGGATGTGCGATTCCATATCAGTCTCTTTAATTGACATTTCTGTTAATTGAATTGGCTCCTGTAAATGCTCTTGCACGAATTCACCCATACGTTTTTCTGCATTTTACTGTCTCAGACCTTCCCATCACACAGTCAGTAAGAAAAGCCCTCACTCAATAACAGAGTAACTGTGTGTCAGGTCTTAGTGCTCCTGTCAGTAGGTGATTGCAGTGTTTTCAGTGCAGACACTTGTCCCAGAGCCATCCAAGTGCCTCTGACTGCCATCATCGGGATGGATCTGAGAGCAGCGTGGCTGTGAGCGTTCTCCATGGGAGCCCGAGGCCCCTGGCGAAAGGAGGGATTAGGTAGCGACGGAGTGCTGGTGGATGCTGACAGATAAATTGCTCCTCTGTCAGAGAGGGCTTGAGGGGACGTGGGGGTCCCCAGAGGATGGCTGACATTAGCCGGCCCCGCCATTTGAGACAAGTCAATAATGAGTGTCACAATGGCAGGAAGGCGGCTCCAGCCTGCACAGGGCAAGGAGCAGAGTTGGGTTTCATCCCCATGTTTCTTTAAGAGAGACGACTCCTGGTGCTTTCGATAGGAGGTGCTGAAAGAAGGGTTGAATATCGCCCGTGTGTGTGTGTGTGTGTGTGTGTGTGTGTGTGTGTGTGTGTGTGTGTGTGTGTGTGTGTGTGTGTGTGTGTGTGTGTGTGTG